CAAACAGTCTGATGTGCTTACAGTCTGACATAGCTTACATTGTTGGATTCAAACACGTCGTTACAGTTTTGGAAATTTTTTTTTCTTAAACCACATTCAAATGAATGTTGGGAATTCGAAGAACATTCCATCAGATATGTCTCTGACATGCACATGAGCCTATTTCTTCTGGAGTATTTAGTGAAGAGTAATCTCCCTGGACAGCTGTTTAAATCACTTAAATCTCCTGTTAATTTTTGATTGGAAACTTTGTACTGGTATCTGTTATGACTGTTCAGACTCATCATGTACCTCTGAGCTTTTTCGTTTCTCTTTCCCACTGCCCTCTGTAGCAAGCCAGGGAAAATCAAGGAATCCATACATAAGAACGTGCTGATGTCTTCCAGATAACCCTACATGAAAACTATATTTGTCCAGAACATTTCTACTTTTGGTCAGCCTGCTGCAGTTTGTCCATCCGCTGTCACAGGAGACTGGCGAATTGTGGGGGACTTAATTTAGCCTATAGCAACCGCTAAAAAACTTAGATTGTAACTGGTGCTGAAAAAAATCCATTCTATATGAATCCATATAATAATTAAGTGTGTGTTTAAAACCATATACAGAGAGGCAACAAGGATTAGGGATGCAAGATAGAGCTCGGGAGAGATGAGGAGGTAAGGAGAAGAAAGGATCAGGAAAGGGAAGTGGAAGTGGAAAGGGCAGAGGAGAGAGGCAAAAAAATAAAGAAAGAGAGAAAAACACTCCAAACATTTAAGTCTGGATGGGACCCAGCTTGACCTAATGTTCTAAGATTCAAGCGTTGGTTTGAATACAGAATTACTGTATAAAATAAATACATTTAAAATTTACTAATGACAGGATTGTGAATATATACATCAACACACATGTACAACTATGAATTTTGGGCCAAAAAAGGGTTGTATTTCAGATGACTGATGGCTTTGATTGGCAGTCTGTTACCACAGCTCCATTTCTGGTCACTACTGCACAGAATCTGTTTGCAAAATGCACCATAAAAGCAAGATGGCCACCTCTGGATTCACAGTAGTTTGGCTTCACTTTTGCATAGTGGCAGGAAGTGGTGATGCATCATTCATTTTTTATATGCAGTCTATGGTTACCATGAAAGCGCTAGC